GCTCATAAACTCGGAAAGAGTCGGCGACTTGGGCACGAGGGCAGATGACGTGCTGTTGCTAGAAGACTGCGATAGCGGTGTGAGGAAGCTGGCTGAAGCGTGTGGATGGCTGGATGATCTAGAAGCGCTTTGGGCTACAACGGCACTCACTGACGGTCCGATGGTGCCCAAGGAACAAGTGAAAAAGAGCCGTGACGAGCTCTTGGAAGACGAAATCGAGAAGCTTACCAGAGATGTTGACAACAATTTGAGCCTGAGCAAAGCTCAGCATGAGTGGCTTGAAAACCACATGGACAATAAATTGGCAAGAAAAGAAGATGACTCGGTGGACCAAGAACGCCAAAAATCTCGTCTACAACCGCCAACCGATCCAATCTCAAAAATACTGGCGCCAGTGGCGAGTCCTGGGGATGCGAACTCAGATCCTGGGGGTGGATTGAGACATGTTTTTCCGCATATCAAGAAGCCCTCGCTCTAATTGATCATATGAATAGATAGATGATGCTACATGTGGATTTTGTGTGTGTTAGAAATAAGAGGATACAACTATAGAAGCATTGGTAATGGTCGATATTCAGCCTGTAACTCAAGCAGCCGCCGCACAGCTGACATGTTAGCTGCGAAGACCATTCAATTGTGACATTGATGCATATATTGGTCGTGTTTAGTAGTTTGTTGTTTGCCGGTCATCTGCACGGAATGGTCAGTGTCTTTCAACTCCAATCCTACACAGTAGTAGCGTAGAGGAGACAGGTAATCTCGAAACTTACAGTTTGCACCCATTGCCTTTCTCAACTTGAGCGTCACAGCCTCGGCATCCAGATCCTTCTTGTCGCCCGTTTGGATCTCGACAGCATACGTCCTGATGACCTGCTTGACCTGTCCACTCTGGAAGCTCATCTTGGCTTTGCGCATGACTTTTGTATGGGGGCCTATCACACCGAATGATATCAACGTTTCCATCTTGCTAGTAAAAAGTCTTGCAGTTGAGGATTGGGCAATATTGGTTGATGGTCAAGATCGAGTTTAAAGAAAATGACATGTTGCAATAGACACGTACCTTGCCAAACCACAAAAGCAAACTTGATGCGTTCACTGTACTCGTCATTTCCCAGCTTCATTCGCACATATCCATACGCTGCCTCGTCGTCCCCGAGACTCTCTGTCATCTCAGCAATCTCGCCTGTGCCGGTGGCTGCCAGCTTCAGGTTGTCTGAAGTTGCGGAAGCATACTACCATAGCGTATTAGCGCTTCAAATGAAAAGAACATGGCTCGGAAGAAATGGAGCAGGGCTTGCTAAGAGTGTCTCGTGACAAGCTTCCTAGAGCATTGGAGGAGCGGGGATGGGGTGTGAAGGTACTCTGCACCAACTGGTCGTCCCGAACGCGTAGTAAAACGAATACGGTAGCTTGTCGGGGTCACAAAGCTTGTCACGTACCTTGAGGATGAGCCACGTCGTGTCCGATTTGTCCGAACGCACATCTTCGTATGCCTGTGCGATATCAGGGTCGTTGAGAATATCAGCTGCAGGCGGCATCGTCACTGGGCTATATGCCAATCTGAGGGGGTTTTGGCTATGCGATCGAGGAAGATCTGGGCAAAAGAAGCAGTGTTTGACAGGGATAGGAAAGGTCACGAAGGGGAAAAGGATGAGGAAGTTGGGGATCCAGGGTCGCGAGGCTAACTACGGCTAGTGCGGGGCTCTAAGCTTGACTTAGCGGGGGGACGATTTAGCCAATGAGACGGCGGGAGGTGGAGGTTCCTGGGTCCTTTTGAGCCGCTGGCGGTGTGGGGTGCACGATGCGTCTTTTGTCCAGCTCACCAACCATATGTTGTGTCTCAGGAAATGGCAAAGTCTGCATGGTGAATAGTCACTGTCGAAGAGTTTGAGCTAACATTGATCTAATAGTTAGTTATATGAAAGTATGTCGGTGTTGAGGTGACCAGTCCATGTCATGGCACTGCTCGCTCGTGCCCCCAGCAGTGCGAAGCATGTGATCAACGACGTAGAATTCCAAGCTCGCTTTGGAGTGGAAAGGGCCGGTTGCCGCAGAAGGGAACACGATGGTTCCTGTCGAAATTCTAGACTACAAGTCGCAGGAACATTTGCTGGCATCAGTCGTTCGGCCAGTCCATGCTTGGGTTTGACGTGGCTGACAACGTGACGCCGTTACGCGTTAGTGTCTTTCCTCATGCATCCTGAGGTAGAGCTCCGAGTAAGTATTGTCAGGAACAACAGGGTATGGAAAGACATGATGTACCCGAAACCAAGTACCACTCGCTGATGTGATACACACATCTATCACTTGATGTCATGCGAATAAATGCACATTTAATTCAAGTGAAGCAAAATCAAGCAAGCTCATGGTACAAGGTCCTTTGTTTGGTAAATCTGGAGAGACGAGCAAGTAGGTGGTTGCGACGGTCATAGAGTCACAATGTGAGAGGAATGGGAGTTGTTCAAAACTGCGGAGAACTGGAAGGAGTCATCACGTGAGGCCGCGACAAGCCGTCTATGGCTTCGGCGCGCAACGCCGGCGGCACTGGCCGGGTTGCAGTAGGAGTACTTGGGTAGTAGTAAGTGATCGCAGGTCAAGGTGCGGGATGAATCAGTCGAGACGGTAAAACTCAGCGAAGCAGAAGTAAGGAGGCAGGGAAAGGATATTCAAATCAATTGCCGTTGGCATATTTGGAGGGTGCAGAGTGGAGGGGGCGGCAAGGTTCCAGGCCAGGTACGGGTGCGAGGTACACACAGCAGAAGCTCCAAAGGAGCAGGTGCTATGGGCGCACGCGCAACCCCGCGGAGCTTTTGTTGATGCTCCGCATTGCCCATCGCATTGCGCCAACAAGACAATTTCATCATTGCAGAGCTACCAAATACCAGGGGGATGCCGGCTTGCTGTCATTGGAAATGCCCGAGAACTGGCACAGGCATGGCCTTGTGTCGACAGCCGGTTGGTTGCGGTTGCGGTTGCTGTTGTTATTGTTGTTGTTGTTGATGGTGGTGTTGAGTCGGCGTGGGCAGCCTCCCTTATTATTGGGCCCAGCCACCACCATACATCCATGGGAAACCGCGGAATTGCATCATTTTGTCGTAGTCGCTCAGCCCAGCGCCGTCTCAAATCTCTACACGTAGCCCTGCTTTCTTTTTGCATCTTCTCTCCGAACCCAAACCCCCCACGCTAGGCCAATTTGCATCTCTCTCCTTGTCGCACTCTGCTACCGCTGTGCAATCGCTGGCTGATCTGCATCCCCCACAACCATCGCCGGCTTCTCCGGTCAACGACATCCACACAAACTCGTCCTCCCCCAGACGACTAAACACATCCCGAGCGCAGCACGACAAGCTTTGCACCACCAATTCTCATCATGCCCGTCTTTCGCCAGCACTTGGACGCTGTTGCGGCGCAAATAGACCGCATAGCTTCCCGTGACGCCATCCTCACGCCCCGGCAGCCTCTCGTGAACGCGCCTGCAATCGCCCTTGATGCGCCCAAGCCAGCACAGCTGGCTAAGCGCCAGAACGTGATATATACACAACAAGGCATAATACCTACCTACTACGATCTCTCTGGACCAGAACCTGGCACCGTGGTTGGCATTGTCCTTGGTAGTGTCGCCGGTTTTCTCCTCATATGTTGGTTGTTGCAATCGCTCGTCAATGGCTCGCGATCAGCCGGCACCACGACCGCAATGGCGGGCGAGGAGGAGATTGTAGTGCGCAGACCGCGGCGCAACTCACATGGCGGTCGCTCATCACGCCGCCGCTCCGAAGTGCGTGAAGTTAGTAGGAGCCCGCGGACGTCCGGCGCCCGGTCGCACATCATTGTCGAAGAGAGGCGGCAGCCGGTAAGGCCAAGGAGCATTGTTGTCGAAGACAGACATCGAGTGCCTGGTGATAATGTAGTCGAGGTCATCGAAGAACACGAGGATTATCGTGAGAGAAGAGGAAGCCGAAGAAGTGGCCCTGGCTATCGGTGAGCAGCGAAAGGTCTACTTCAAGCTACAAGTTGTATGCTAACAAGCCTAGATAAGCCGAGACTAGCTAGTATGCCTTACTTCCTCCCATGTCTAGATACAATACCCTGTCGCCGATTGTACCATATGCAATCACCTCCTTCCAACACACCACCAATACCCAACAAATACGTCTCTTCATTTCGCTCTTCTTACTCTCATATCCTTCGATCACTTGTTGCTGGGTTCTTTCCGGGCTTATACCATAATATGGCCATTCTCCTGGCTTTAGGCGTTTTGGCAGCAGGGTCGGGATGTAGTGCATAACGAGTTCGGTATGACGAGGCATATATGAGCCACGCAGTATGTATAGTTATGTACGTCTCTAGTTTGGATGCTTTGAGAAAGGCCAGTCGAGTTCTATCCATATTTGTAATTGTATAGTCAGCGACGCGCAAGTAAACATTCCAACATTACATGTGAACACAATTCCAGACGTGCTAAAATAGCAAAATACTAGATCAGAGAGTCCATGCGGATCGAAATTAGGTACAGCCGATGTGCTGGTGTGTTACTCGAAAATCGAAACGCAATTTTTGGGGGGGAGGGGACTTTATTTTTTTTTTAAAGCTCTGCTAATGCGCATGTACAAAGTCCAGGAAAGGTCACGCTTGCAAGATGCTATTGCAGTGAGCGATCAGACAAACGTGCGGCATGCTGCAAACGCTATCTATCTCATATGAGATGTGAGAAGGATCACCCATACATCTTCTTTGGGATCTGTGGGTAGGACGACTACTCAACTACTAGCTTCTTCATAAGGCGTACTTGACATGCGCTTACCCTCTTTCAGCTAGCTCTAGACTTTCCCTAGCCTGTGCCTTTGACACATCTTAATGGCCCACCTCCCCATGTCACCCTTCGATCATTACCCCGCCGTTCTACTAGAACTACTGTTACCATGGATAAAGATTTCAGAATCTGTACGGGTGATCTAGACTTGTTTTTCTCTTGCCAAAACAGCCGCGTCGAAATGGACCAGATGCTGGGCGATGGTAGCTTCGCTGACCTATCCGAAGCGTTGAAAGCGGTGAACGCTGCACCGTCCTATTTCAACGACCAATACATTACGGAACAAACATTTCGAGTTCCTTCAAACAACTCTACTGCCTCCTCGTCACCCTTTACCCCTGGAATTTCTATCTTGAGACCCAAGCTCGGCAGCCGTTTTTCGAGAGAAGTCATCCGAACTTTGAAAGATTGGCTTGCAGTTCATCATCAACATCCATATCCAAACGAGAATGAGATGCTTGCTCTGCAAAATAGGACTGGGCTTAACAAAGCGCAACTAACCAACTGGTTTGCAAACGCGCGAAGAAGGGGTAAGGCGCAAAGCATGCGTCCGGGATCACCTCAAGCCCATGAAAAGCCCACATCGCCCATAGATATAATTCACAGGCCAGGCACTCCAGCTATAATAAGCTCACATGGTTACAAAGACCCGATGCAGCGTTGGGTAGAGTCGCCACCTGAACATGAACCCGCCGCTGCAAGTGATATTGCTCGCGCTATGGCTTCTACCTCTCGTGAGTTCTTCCTCATCGCAAGTGCCCACTTTGCGGCTGCAGTTTGATATTTCTATTACTTATTCAGACTAGGTGAAAATGTCGCAGGGGATATTGACCATGTCCAATCGTGGCAATCGCGGTATGCAAGATCGTCGGCAAGTAGTACCAGAACGTCGCAATCGAGTGAGTTCTCAGGCCACTGCTCCTCGGGCTCCCAGACGTCACTAAAAATGCGCCGTGCACCACGCAAGAAACGAGGGAGCAGGCGACGCCGGCTGGAGAAAGAAACAGTCACAACGCCATTGCTCATGCCCTACCAGTGCACATTCTGTACAGAGGTGTTTAGAACCAAGTACGATTGGCAACGGCACGAGAAATCACTTCATCTGCCGCTTGAAAGATGGATATGTGGGCTTTACGGTCCTCGCTCTACCAAAGAGACCATTGATGAACCGTGTTGTGTCTTCTGTGGAGCTGTCACACCAGATGATGCGCATGTTGAAGCTCATCATTACTCGGCGTGTCAAGAGCGCAACCTTCGCGAAAGGACATTCCACCGAAAAGATCACCTTGTTCAGCATTTGCGATTAGTTCATGCCGTCGAGTTTTCAGAGTGGTCAATGGCTTCCTGGATGCTGCCTATACCTGACGTTCGGTCGAGATGCGGATTTTGCGGCATCACTATGAAAACTTGGCTAGAAAGAACCGATCATCTCGCAGATCACTTCAAGTCCGGCACAACTATGGCTAGCTGGCAAGGAGACTGGGGTTTTGATAGTTTTATCGAGCCTTTGCTAGAGACCGCAATGCCCCCAGGTAAAGGAAAACATCCGTCTTAACACGGCTTATCATTTGACTTCGACTAACGGCTGAGCAGATCTTATTGAATGGGAAAGAGGCACATTGATACCTATGAAAGGAAGCGACCCGTCGTGGGGCACGCCGCCCAATGCTTACGAGCTGCTCAAGGTCGAGACAGAGTTTTTCATTCAGCGATATTTTGATGAGAATGGTCACCTACCTGATAACGATGCTATCCAACTCGAGGCTTGTCGCATCATCTTTGCTGCCGAGACTACCTCTGGTACAAACTCACAGGGAACAGAAAAACAGCATAGGGTTTCTTGGCTGCGAGATCTTGTCATGTCGTCTCCGGCATTGACAGAGCGCGCTAGGTTCCAGCCCGTGCGATCAGCTCGTGAGAGCAGGCATTTCCCGCTGAGAATCAATGCTAAAGGTCATCTATTCGAGCATTGCCCTATGGAGGCGCGGCTTATTAGCTTCGTCATGGACCAAACAGTAGCAGGCCTTGTGCCTACTGATGCACAGCTGCATAACGAGGCATGTCAGATTGTGAGGCAGATGGAACAAGAGACTACTACACCATCGGATGTATTTGCCAACTGGGTCGTAAAAGGCATCTACTCAGCAGCAAATTGGCTTGCAAATTTCAAGCAACGAGCAGCGATACTTGATGTATCTGGCACTATCGGTGCTCTCTCAAGTCACGCAGCTGATACTTTGTGCGCCCCTTTGTGGGCACAGCCACTTCATGCAAATGCTTTGGAATCGGTACTAGACACAACGAATCAACCTCAGGAGACCTATGACTTCTTCAAGCCGTTGCCGGCATTCTCAGAAGGCTCTTCCGCTATACCTTCACCTACAACTCAGTCCGACAGTTACGGCCGAGTTCGAACGCTACTACCTGATGACGCCAACTTTTACCGCATCTTCGACAGTGATATGAGACGCTGGGCCGCGTCCACTCTTTCGCCCAAGAACCCGAATTGCCATGTGCCATCTGATGAAGAGATACAACATCAGGCGCGGTGGATCATGTACGATAGCGACGACCAATGGAATCAGACTCCTGCGGATTTCCCGGTGTGGTTGTCGCGATTCAAGAAAGAAGTTGGCATTACGACAGATGTCGAAGTCGTTGATCCCACGGAGTTGGTAACGCCAGGGAAATGAACATGCTCCGATGTCTTCAAGGCGAATGCAGTAAGTAATCTCAATTGCTATGAACGGATTACGAAGGTGATATCAATATTGTGTGGTCATTTTATGAGCGGGACCTTTGAACTGAAACTCCAACTTTGCCTAAAGTAGGAATCAATGCACACTACGTATGCCAGAGAGGTGACGGGGGGCTGTAGCATGTTGGTCCGAGTGAGTGTATGGGCTTGAGTCTTCAGTCCTCGCAATCCTAAATCAGCCCTATTTTGGGCATTCCATATCGCATTCACCCCATCCCCACATCCGGAGATGAGACTACTACTGTCTTCTTGTCCTCTTCCCCTCCAAAGATAGCGCGGGAACCAGATGCCCTCAAATGCAGAGTAGTAACCAAGCAGATGAATGTTCAGGTCCGATTCGTGTTAAATCTGCGCACAGACGTAATGTCGGTAGTACAAATAGTGAATGGAAGAGTGGTCGGCTTGCGATGCTCGCGACCATGTCGTAATTACGTAGCGTCGCTTGGCAATTACTAGTCCGCATTACCCCAGAGGCTCGTTCTCCACACTCCATACCTTTCCATTGAATGCACTGGTCCAAGAGACCGAACTTTGCCCATAGTTTTCTGCAAAAGTAGTAGATCTTTGACTGGTAGGAGAGGATTGCTCTGGCATATGTAACTCAGCTCGCATTCTGACGGTCATATCAATTTCACTGCTTTCTAACCAGATTCACAGCGCAACGACCCTCAATAGGATTGGCCTGAGCTTTACCCAAAGCAGGATGCCACCCGACAAGCTGGAACTTTTTGCGATGAGCGACGCAGGCATATAGTAAAATGAATTCCAGGAGGTGGCTGTTTAGGCAAAAAGAACGGCTGTCGGCTTTACCGTCACGAGACCGTAGCATTCATTGGTTGATCGGCGCCTCCCTTTCGTTGCACATCTCCACATACGGGAGAATTACGTCCGAAGCAGTTTGTATAAGAGTCTCTGCACCCCATGGGGCACTACATCTGTTTGGCGGTCCTATAATTGCGGTCAAATGTCGTTGACAAAACAGACGGAGTGTTTGGCGGTCCTGTCGCATGTGATTCTGGGACCCAAGGACATGTAGTACTTGCGGGATAGAGTCCTGTCACGCCATGGTATGTTCTGAATGCTGCTGACATTCAACCCATACTCACGGGTCCCTCGCCATTCGACTCCGCGATTACGCACGTGAAAGCTGAGCTGACCATCACAGTGATATCTGGAGACATGCTGTATGGGGCACTCCACCTCTGTACGATAGCTGTCATTCCACACTGCCGTACCTGTCTCCCGGTACCGCCTCGGTCTCCCGAACATTATCCGGCCTCAAAAATTTGCTTCAGGGGCCATGTCCTGGATGTCGGCACTGCTCACGATACTCGCCCCGCCATGTGCTCACTAGACTCCACCACGGCCCTCTTTTCTCGAAATCTTCAGGGACCTTGATCGAGGTTTTCCTGTATTGTGAAGCGATGCGGGACGCTAGCGCTGCAACCTCGGAGTCGGAGATGAAGTTTTCATCATACGTCGGCCAAGACCGGCGCACGTCACGACGACCCCAAACCTTGCACGCAGTGGCACACTCACGACGAAGCTGATGGGCTTTCCAGAAAACGGACATTCTACGGATACAATAACAATTGTCACCATTGTCGGGCGTACACTATCGTGTGCTGTGGAGCATACAGTACACCATTCTAGGACTGCTGGCCATGGGCGAGGACACCAATCGAGACATGATGCGAGGAAATCCGCAGCTACACCTGATGCAGTAGTCTGGCTGCATGAGTCGCATAAAACGCACATCTTTCAGTCGAACCACTTTTGGGCGCACTCCTGGGCTTCCGAATCCGACCAGCCAGCATCCAACAGAGTCTTGAGGCTCTGCGGCAGCCATCCGTGCCGCCACGCCCGTGCACGCAGTTCGCCTGCACCACGTTATGTCATCGGGGCCACTTGTCCGCCTTGTCGACATCGCAGACGCGTCTTAACCCTGGTCCAAACTGCAAATTCAGTAGCCTAATCTGTCCATTGGTCGGATGTCGGATGTGCGACAGCCACTCATGTGCGTACATACATGGTCGCGACGACTTGATGGTTCTTCAGACCCTCACTGTTGCTCCTGTCTACAATACTACGGTACATGTTCAGTCACCGTCCGTCTTTCCCGTCACCCCAAGAGTACTGCAAAGTTCATTGACCGCATCATCCGGGCGCTAATTGCAACTGAAAAAAAAACACATTGTTCAGGTGCAACAACGTCGGTGGGCCGATCAAAACGCTATCAACGTCCGTGCGTTCTGGCGTCCAACTGCTGTCCGATGTTGAGCGGTTCAGAAATTTCGCAGTCGGCAGACCTCCGCATTAGGCGCTCTTGTGAGAGGTTGCCCCATGGTCAGCTCCAACCTGACATTTCGATGTCATCATTCGCCCCGTCCTCCCCAGGCTCGTGCGAGCATGTCCCCTTTCCCCTCCATGCTTAGGGCTTCTGGAAAAAGTTGGTCTTGTGGACATGCGGATGAAATTGTCACTGGGGCTCCACTGCCAACAGACCCTATGTGCAAACCCCGTCCCCGCGTAGTTTCGCTATATATACGGTACAACGTCTCCCTCGAAATCCATACTGGTCTCGTCTTCTCCAGCTTCTCTCCAGCTCAGCCTCCGTGAGAAGTACACCCCACTCTGCGGACCAGCTAATTCTTAGTCTACCACATTTCCCTTATATATCTTTAATCAACCATCGCCCGCTAGGATGGTCTTGTCGCGTTTCTTCAATAAGAAGACTGCAGCTGACGGAGTGCCAGGAAAGGGCACTCCTGAAAGCGGCACTCCTGCTGGCACACCAGCCAGGGGCAACTCCGATGTTGCACAACCTGCAGCCCTAGAGCCAAAAGGCCGAGTACCTGCTATTGCTGTTATTCTTGGTGCTGTTGCTAGTATCGGTGGCTTCATGTTCGGCTACGAGTCTGGACAAATTTCCGGTTTCCTTGAGATGGATGATTTCAAGAACCGCTTTGGCGATGATGGCAAATTCTCTGCTGTGCGTCAAGGTGCCATTGTCGGTCTTCTGGCGTAAGTTTTAGTTTTGATGATGGGGTGAATGCTTCTAACCATTAACCAGTGTCGGTACCCTCTTTGGATGCTTAGGCTCAGCTCCCCTTGCTGACACCTTCGGTCGTCGTCTTACCATCTCCGGTTCCGCCTTCTTCTACATTATCGGTGTCATCATTGAAATCACCAGCAAGAACGTCTGGGTACAGTTTGCAATGGGTCGATTTACCGCTGGTCTTGGTATCGGAGCTCTTTCGACCGTCGTGCCCATGTACCAATCCGAGTCCATTCCCAAGCGAATTCGCGGCGCTACCGTTTCCTCTTACCAGCTCTTCATCACCCTTGGTATTTGGACCGCATACATGGTCAACTACGGCACTGAGAAGAGCTACATCAACAGCGCCCAATGGCGTATCCCCAACGGTCTTTCCGCTCTCTGGGCCATTCTTCTTGGTACTACCATCTTGCTCTTGCCAGAGTCCCCACGCTACGCATACCGCAAAGGCAATGTTGAGGATGCTCGCGCAAACATGGCCCGCTTGAACGGTGTCGACCCTCACAGCCCCTTTATCGATGCGGAGATTGCCGAGATTCAGGAGAAGCTCGAGGCCGAAGCCGCTGGTGGTGATCACCCATGGCACGAAATCTTTACCGGCCCTCGCATGCTGTACCGTACTCTACTAGGAATGGTTCTCCAGGCTGGTCAGCAACTTACTGGTGCCAACTACTTCTTTTACTACGGCACAACTATTTTCGCCGCGACCGGTCTCAGCAACTCGTACGTCACCTCTATCATTCTCGGAACCGTCAACGTTGTTGCTACCATTGCTGGCCTCTGGATTGTCGAGAATGTCGGCCGCCGCAAGGCTATGATGGCTGGTGCTGCCTGGATGGCCGTTTGCCTCTTCATCTACTCCTTTATCGGCCACTACCAGCTTGACCACCAGAACCCTCTCAGTACCCCCCAGGCCGGAAACATTATGATTGTATTCACCTGCCTTTTCATCGCGGCTTTCGCTACCACTTGGGGACCTCTTGTCTGGGCTATTGTCGGTGAGCTGTACCCTGCTCGCTACCGTGCTACTTGCATGGGTCTTGCTACTGCATCCAACTGGCTCTTCAACTTCATCATTTCCTTCTGCTCCACTTTGATCACCGACCGTATCGACTACTTCTACGGTCTCGTCTTCGCCGTATCCCTCGTCATCCTCTTCTTCGTCGTGTACTTCTTCATGATCGAGACCAAGGGCCGCTCGCTCGAGGAGATTGATACCATGTACGTCTTGCACGTCAACCCTATCACGAGCAGCAAGTGGGACGCATCGACTCTCCAGAAAGACGGCCTTGTTGACACGGACCGTCTGCACATGGGTCCTGGTGGCCGTACTTTCAGCAAGGCGGAACAGAGTGGTACCCACGGTGGTATCCTAGAGCCTGCGGAGAGAAATGAGATCCAAGTGTAAACAGTTTGGACGTGGAGCATTAAGATTTGCATTTTAATGGCGCTTGAGCGGTTTGCATATGCTTTATTTGCCCATAGAGGCTCTGGCGGGATTGGCATGCAAGAAAACAAAATATGATACCTTTGTAATGATTTCGATGTGGGTTAAATGGACCAGGCCTTTGAGGAAATGTTTAGCAGCATCAAATACAATGACATGCTTTAAAAGTAAAATCATCCATCAGTATTGAACAATGGTTAAGCTCATGTTTGCTATTGCGACTACAGCTTCTTACAACCCCGAAAGTAAGCTTGAACTATTCTAGACATGTCTCTTGCTTTCCCCATTCCTATATCTTCCAATTTACCTTCAAGACCTTGGATCCTTAGCTCCAATGTCATTACTTTCCCGTGCCCATTTCTCCTTTCCCTCTCCCGGCCTTACCACTTTGTCTTGAGCAGACTCAGTCTCGGGTTCCGCGGCCCACTTTTTGAGTACGTCTAACCCTACGCTATTCAATGCCTTGATATGTGTAGATTCCAGCTTGACCTTGGGCATCTCTCCGATTCCCTTTTCCACTGCATTTTTCCACATGGAAGCTTCGAGACAGAAGCGTTGGCCGGGGCCCACGCCGGCTTTCCGCAGGTCCGTTCCGTTGGAGGAGGAGAAGTCGAGGAAGGCGTTTGTTAGGATTGCGGCGATGGGGTTGCTGCTGTCGCACATCCCTGCATGGAAGGAGGGCGGAAGGGAAGATGAGCCGTTCCTTTCTGAGGGGTGCTTGTGCAGTGGTGCGTTGAGAACTATGAATTGTCAGGTTGGGATTGAAGTAGTCTACGTGATGTAGTCGTACCATTCCTTTGCTTGACGTCAATAAACCCTTGCTCATTCTTTCCTGACATTTTAACTATACAAGTATCTGATACCAATTGTTTTGAGCAGCTGAAGTCAAGTTCCGTGGAGCTTATGGGTCAATTGTAATATAATCAAGTCCGAATATAGATTCAAGACGAATTGGTGTGAGATGCTACAGCTGAAATTTAAACAAAACTTGAGTTCATTCAGCTCACCTCTAAATCCTGCGTCTAACTCCCTTTGCACAAAGCAATTCGTAAGAGTGATGCTTTCATGACTTTCCTTGGCTTGTATCTTGACGTCAGCGAACGGAAAAACGTTGAGAAGCTATTCCCACGTTCTGAATCTATATGTAAGATATTTCACAGCAAACATATCAAGTATATAGACTCACTGGCCCCCTAAAGCTCACATCGGATATGTCGTCGCAAACCTGGACACTGAGCAGTGGTACCAACGCCTGGGAGCATATTGCGCTAATCCCAATACGTACTAACATGTATCTCCCCAGCTTCGCCCTCTTCGATGAGTACTCCATATATCTTTACCGCCACACACCACACATGCGACAACTAGTACCATAACAATAGAAGAGCCGCGCACGCTACACCTCTCGACACACCGCCACCCGTCCATTCACATCGCCTCACACCAACTACGCAACACACCTTGGCGCGTCCATCCCAAAGCGCCCTATCCCATACTAGTAGGTGTTAACAAGTCGGTGATTGGCAAGCACCGACATGCCGACCAAACTTGCACAAGCACAGCCCCATCACGCACACATGGCCGGTTCATATCACGATGCAATAATCGGGCCATGAGGCTGTAGAGCCACGTCGGACAGAGCCAACGAAGCGTACACGCGTTCACGTGTGCTGCTGCCGTCATTCGTACCACACCGCGTGTCGGAAGCGTCGAGTCGGGCCAATGAGGCCGAAAAAAAAGAGTGCTGGTAGCTGGAAAGTAGAGTTGTTGTTCGAGTCAGCGTCGCGTTCGCCCTGTTGCTTTCACCGATGCATGCAAAGAGAGATTCCCAATTTGACTCAAAGGTTACGCCCATGCTGCCTCACCCAAACCCGCTATGTTCTCTTTAGGTAAAAGAGCTACGTGTGAGCATGCAGATCTGCCAAAACGTTAAGTATTGCTCATGAATGCTGTGGCGAGTCAGCAGAACGATTCGCAACCAAGATGAGTGATGAGGGTGATGATGGTGATGAAGCTAATTCCTAACTTCATTTCTTGATTTTGCTCCTCCCACAAGTGCTCGGAAGCCAGCTAGCATAGCATGTAACCATAAGAATACGACACCGGTCTCTTTACCTAATACCACAACCTAGTCTCATTTATCCGCGGCTTACGAACCGAAAATATGTAACTTTGCACAAGGCTAATGCCTGTTTTTGTTCTTGCTGCTCGAACACGAAGCAAAAGAAACGGTCCGGTACCAGACTCCGAGGGAAAAAGTATGCTTGCGTACTTTACGCACTACGCCCGGTGTTGGCGAGAAATGTAACGCGCAGACTTTTTGTCCCTGGAGGAGGAAGAAGTAAACATGTAAACGGCGGTCACGTAACGTTCTCTCTTCTTTTTCCCCTTCCAATTTCCACCGCTTGATCCCCTCTATTACGTGTACAAAGTAGGAAGCGAGTGATCTACAGGTATACAAAGTAGCAACTACTCAATTATGATGCAAGTCAATACGTAGCAACGTAATTGTGGTTTGTGATGCAGATGTGGCAATGACGGTCATTGCACCGGCAGAAAGCGAGGCTAACACATATTTTTCTGATGGCCAAATTGTCAGAATGGTCACGAGGGACTTTTGCATCTTTAGTATCAATTGTCCGCCACCCTTGCTGAATGTGGGTTGACGTCGTTTGACACGACCGCTGCTGCAGGTTAATCTAGCAGGACCTTAGGATGTACCGAGCTGCGGGGTGCGGAAGAGTAAAAGAGGGGTGGGTTGCACGCATGAGCGTTAAGATTGAGATGCTTTTCTTCTCTTCACTCTCGGCATGCACAGTCGCTTGTGAGGAAGCACCGGACAAGGCTGCATGTTGCTTGCATATGTATGTAGGCATGTATTGATCTCTGCTGCCCCGCTGTAGGTACTAGGCACATATTGTAGTGCGTCATCACAATGCACCTCTCCCCCCATCTACGGAATACCCAAAGAAAAAAGCACCTGGCTTCATGCAATGCAATGCAATCTGCTGCTTCTCATCTGTATAATACAATGTCCGCGTGCATGGAGAATTTAGGAGCGTTAAGTAGCCGAAAAGCCATTGCTAACCCTGCAGCCGTTGGCGAATTTCGGCAACGACATTCCGGATTCGAGGCTCCTTGACTTTCTGCTCGGCACGGGTGACGGCATCGCCTATTTGAAGAATATCGCGACCAGCTTCGCAAAAGTCGGGGCCAAGACATAGCAACGTACCAGTAGCCACAAGCGCACGGTAAATAGCTTCAGAGTCGGTGGCTGTGGTGAGAACCTTTGATAGATCGTCAAGGAGTGATAGTGCCCGGTCCGCATTGTTCTCGTAATTCAAAAGTACCGAATAGTTAATGTATAGTGTAGTGAGCGCAATGATCAAGTTGCGGTTGGTAGAGGTAAGGAACGGCGACACCAAAGGATGGATGTTGTCAAACTCCTTGCTCGCAAGAAGTCTACCTTTCTCAGTCTGGAGCAGATTGCTGAGACACCGTATTGCCATCATAGTATTATTCGGTGGAGAGGACCCGGTGAAGACATCTGATTCGATAAGGGCTGGTAGTAGGTTTTGCTCAGGCGACACAAGGAAAGCAGCTGGCTCATGGAAGGCGAGGACTAGTCGCAGCAGATCGAGGGCGGGCAGCCGTTTTTCTGCTGGCCATTGGGTCGCTGCTTTCAGAAGCAGCTCGACACCAGTAATGTCTATTCCCTTGCCGTTTCCCTTTTCAAGCGCACTGACAGTGGCGTTGAGTTGGTCAATATCCGAGGGGTTCAGCGAAATGCCCTTTTGACCATCGTCAACCAGAGCCTGGTTGAATTCTGTGAGCTTTTTGAAGATAATTTTATGGTTTCCGGCCGTGATAGGAAGGTAATCCTTTTGCGGAAGTATCTTGGGTGGCGATGGTGCGGGTTGTGGTTGCGCGGGGACCTGATTAGCGTCTCCTGGGCGGTAGCGTGCATCTGAACCCCAGGGATCTGCGCCCTGCGCGTTACTTTGGCCTAGCGTTGCACCCTGTGTGTTTTGAATAATGAAGTTTGCGACTTGATCCAAGTAAGTGAGTGGTAGTTCGTTGTCTTCGATGAATTTGCGTGCGGCCTCATAATGATTCTGGTTGAGATTATACGGCAGCTTCAGTGGGGGCTTGCCATCTTCAATGTCAACGTCAAAGACATAGTCGTACTCTTTGCCGGCATGAGATATCTTGCGTCCACCGCTTCCGGCCGAATCGACTACAGTGCCAACATTCACCCATTGGTTGGCGGCAGCTGACCATTGATATGCTGAAACATTTCCGTTCATCTCCTTAATCATTTGCACCTGACCCTCCTTTGTACCGGATCGCTGTGCAAGAAATTCGGGCCCTGGCAGCTGTTCCTTGTTGATGTTGCCTACAGTTTGCTGTGGAATTGCTGATCCTTTAACATCATCGATGAACTGCTGAATCTCGGCTTCGGCTGCATAACGAGATTGGTCGCGGGTGAAGACACGTGCGAGTTTATCACTCGCAGCTGTGACGATGTCCCCGTTCTCTTTACACACGGCCACTGACCATACTGAGATGGCTGGGTGGGTGATGGTCTGTATACACTGATTGTTTTCCCACACACGCACAGTCCGATCTTCACCGGCACTTACGATCCCACCGTTGGGTAGGACAGCGAGCGAGTAGATGAAGTTTTCATGGCCATGCAACTCGGCCACCTGTTTTCCAGTAATGGTCCATAGGCGGATGACGGCGTCGTTGCCTGCGGAGGCGAATTGAGCTCCCGAAGGGTGATCTGAAGGCAGTCGACAGAGAGCGCGTACAACTTCTGGTGCCTGGATCGAGCGCACTGGCGATGTACCGCCCGAGATGTTGTAGACGCGAATTTGATTGTCGGCACATCCTGTGATGATGGTGTTCTCATCAAAGGCAAGGACAGCCCACACCGACGCAGTGTGACCCTGCAGCACGGTAGACTCACCCCACTTGCCAACCTGCCACAAGCGGGCCTCCATATCCCAACTGCCACTCACGATATACCGACCATCTTCACTAACGTCGAGAGCACAGACATTGTTGCCATGCCCTATCAGCAGGGCGTCGGCATCGGAATCGAGTGTCTTTGTGGATGAGCGTACGTCGATGATTTGGTCTTTGCCGCCGGAAACGACGAGACCGTCGGGGAAGGAAGACGAGGGAGGGACAATGGCGAGCGAGTTGACAAACTCCTTGCCATGTGTCTTGATGGAACTGTCCCAGACGGGTGGGTTGGCTGATTGTTGTATCCAAGCGCGTACGGTGAAGTCTCTCGAGGCGGAGAAGATGGAGGCGGGTGAGGCGAAGACTACACTGCGAACCTAGGGCGAGAGTTAGTGTGTCTGTTTGTGTAGGACGTGCACAGTCTAAGCTGGACTCACGTCGTCTTCATGGCCGCGTAGGGTGGCTGATAGCTTGAAATCGGCCATGATGGAGCTGGGGCGGGGTTGCTCAAAGGGTGGGGGGGGAGCTGGGCAACGGGGGCGAGGGTGGAAAGAAACAGGCGCTAGTCTGTCACGAAGCCTGTGCCTGCAACCAGGAAACACATGCGAATGCGAAGCACACACACAAATGCAAAGACAACGGCACGGGGAGTTTCTGCGTATCTGCAGTCAAGACCAACTGCTCGGCCATTGGCCTCATCCCACTGGCGACGTCAGCCTTTGGCGAGGCGGCCGGCCCACTCACCTCGCCCTCCCCCCGGTCACCCGTCGCCTGTCGCCTGTCGCCGCTTCCCTCTCCCGCCCTTCCACTTCGGCCGCCTTCCCCCCCCCCAAACAGGCTAGGGCTTGGCAAACAACACACTCAACCC